TTGTATATAGCCAAAAAGGCAAAATAACGTGCCTATAGTTACTTGAGGGTGCATCACACTTGTATACTTTTTAAGTGCTTACTGCTTTATCTTGCGACCTCGACTAGATAGAAGGTAACAGACTTGGTTAAAGTTGTTCTTATGAATGACCTATTGGATGATGGCCAGCTGAGTTCAGAATTAATTGACCAGGTGACTTACTTACTTTTTACTTAAGGGTCCCGTGCACCACCAGCGGTGCAAAGGGCCAACGTGAAAAGCTTCCATCCTGGGCGTGCTCACTTTTGCCTTGACCTGGGCCCAAATCAGATTCCTATCGACTTGCTTTATTTCCTTGTTGAGGCTCCACCGCCATGAGCCCCTGGGTCTGCCTTTGCTGCGATGTCCTGCCGGATTCCAATCCAGCGCTTGCTTGCAGATTTCTTTTCCGCCCCGTCGAAGTGTGTGGCCGACCCACCTCCATTTTCGCTCTCGAATTTCTGTTGCTATCGGCTTCTGATGACATCGATAATGATGGAGCTCGGCATTCGAGATCCAGTTGTGAGGCCACCAGGCAAGAATTATATACCGCAGGCATCGGTTGATGAAGACCTGCAGCTTTTGAGTGTTTTCCGCTGATACACACCACGTCTCGCTGGCGTATAACAACACAGATTTCACGTTCGATTTTGGTGCGTTGACTTATCTGGTTGGATCTCCATACATTTCGTAAACTCACAAAGGAAACCCTAGCCTTCTTGATTCGTGCACCTATGTCGCTCTTGGTTCCGCCGTCCGACGCTATTTGACTGCCAAGATATTGGAAACTTTCGACCTTCTCCACTGCTTGCCCCGCTACCGTAAAGTTGGAAGGGTTGCCCGTGTTGATATCCAACGATTTGGTCTTGTTGACGTTGATGGTGACACCCGCCGCAGAGGAGCGTCTAGGTCATTGAGCTTACTCTGCATATCAGAGCGCCGTTGTGCTAGTAGAGCAACATCATCAGCCAAATCGAAGTCGTTGAGATGCTCCATGGTGATAGGCTGCCAAAGCAGCCCACGGTTCGGTACACGGTCAATTGCACCTACCATGATCTCGTCGATTACGATGAGAAACAGTAGCGGTGATAGTATACATCCTTGTCTCACACCAGTGACTACCCGGATAGGGTCGGACAAGGCTCCGTTATGTAGAACTCTGCACGTGAAAGTCTCATACTGCGCTTCGATAAGGTTGACGATTTTATCCGGGACTCCCTTGCGTCTCAGGGCGCCCCACAGATTCTCGTAATTGAGACGGTCGAAAGCTTTTTTGTAGTCAATGAATACCAAATAAAGGGACTCTTGGAATTCATTGACCTGCTCCAGGATGATACGGAGCGTGACAATATGGTCCACACAAGATATTCCGGCACGGAATCCTGCCTGCTGCCGTCGGAGAGTCTCGTCGATCTTCTCCTGTATCCGATTTAGGATAAATTTGCACAGAACTTTCAGAACAATACACAGTAACATGATGTCTCACCAATTGTCGCACACAGTCAGATCCCCCTTCTTTGGGACATTCACTAAGATGCCCTGCATCCAGTCGGCCGGAAAAGTCGTGGTGTCCTGTCGATATTACAGAATAGTTGATGCAACATTTGTGCGGATAGCATGGGGTCAGCTTTGAGCATCTCTGCTGATATGCGATCGACCCCTGGAGCCTTGTTGGATTTCATGCTTCGGATAGCTGCTTCAATCTCATGCAGTGATGGGGCCTTGGAATTGACGCGAGTGATGCGCCGCACCCTAGGCGGATCATGCTGGTTGGCCGTCGAAACTTGAAGAAGTTGTTCGAAGTGCTCAAACCAGCGTTTCAGCTGGTCAGTGGGGTCGGTAAGCAATTGTCCAGTCGTGTCCTTCACTGGCATCCTCGGGTTCATCCTTGCTCCACTCAGGCGTCGTTAGATATCGTAGAGGAGGCGTATATCACCAGTGTTTGCGGCTTTCTCCCCTTCGTCGGCCAGGGAGTTCACCCACGCTCGATTGTCCCGTCTGCAAGAGTGCTTGACTTCCTTCTCTAGAGCCGAGTACCGTTGACGGGCTTCGTTCTTGGCTCCTCTGGTTCTCGCCCGCTCTATCGCGGCTTTTGCTTCTCTACGCTCCTCAATCTTCCGCCAGATTTCATCTGTGATCCACTCTTTCCTCTGGGTGCGCAGCCTACCCAAGTTGTTCTCGCTTGTTTCTATAAAGGCATTCTTGATGGCCGTCCATTGTTCTTCTACGCTGCCACCTTCTGGAACGTTCAACAAAAGACCTTTTTACCGCTGGATCTTCAAGTCGGCGTGTGTTGAACCACCGCCCGAGTCTCTCCTCCCGTTGCTGGATCCGCGCCATGCGTAGGCGGATTTCGCCGATTAGAAGGTGATGGTCAGACGCGATGTCGGCGCTGCGTTTATTCCGGACATCAAGAAGGCTCCGTCTTCATTTTCGGGTGATGCAGATGTGGTCGATCTGATTATCGATATGTCCATCACGGGAAACCCACGTGACTTTGTGCACTGGCCGATGGGGGAAGAACGAGCCCCCGATCACCATGTCGTTATTGCCACAAAATTCTGCAAACAGCTCACCGTTCTCGCTCATTTCGCCGAGACCATGGCGTTCCTTGACACGCTCATAGTCCGTGTTGTCGGAGCTGATCTTCGCATTGAAGTCGCCAGTGTAGATCTTGATGTCACCCCTTGGAACCTTATCCACGATGGCATTCAGTTGACTGTAAAAATTCTCCTTGTCCTGTAGCTCGGCAGCATCGGTTGGCGCATAACATTGGATTATGGTAAGGTTACGAACCCGTGTTCTAAATTTGGCAACGATTATCCTCTCATTAACAGGCTCCCGATGAGCGCAGCACTTGCCTGAACGCTAAGTAGGAGACCAACTCCACGATGGCGGGGAGCGTTTTCACCTCGAATACCAGAGTGTAATAGTACCTGTCCCGACGGCAGTTTGTGTTCTCCAAAGTTTGGCCAACGAACTTCACTCAGTCCCAGGATTTCTAGCTTCATGCGTCGCACTTCGTTGGCGAGTTGTGCCAGTTTACCCTGCTGGGCTAACGTCAATACATTCCATGATCCAATTCGTGTCCGTCGTTTTGCGCTAAAAGTCGTTGTCGTTAAACAGGTTTTGAGTTTTTAGAGCACGATTTAAAACAAAATCTTTGACCGATTGATAATTTCAACTTACTCAGCAGGTAGTGCATACTTTTCGCTTAATTTTTGCCTTTTATTCTAGATCGCTAAGTGGTTTGGTATTGCCGTAAAGGTAGGGTGGTCACAAACATCAAAACCTAAATACTCAGTTATAAGCAAGAATTGAGGTAAAGGGTAAACGTTCCTATAGTTGCGGTACGATAGAAGCGTTAGGCTAGGTTAGGAGCTGATTGGGATTAATAATGCTCTTGAATCTCTGACTACTTCTATAGTTGAAGCAAGAGCTGCCTCAGTACCAACATGCGAGGTTAAATTCGATTCATTTATAAAAGAAGACAAGCTCTTGATCCGTCTGAATAATGTCCGTATCAAGCAATATCAAAGAACACGCGACCCTGCCATGAAAGCGATCAGGAGAGATTTTCAAAAATAAATTAACAAGCGATTATATGCCCTGAGGATCAAGCATTTTAAACATAATGTTTCTAAACCTTCAAGTTCTAAACCCTTTTGGAAACTCACACAAATTTTGAAAAATTGTTGAATAATAAAAACGTAAATTATAAAAAAATCCAAACTGAAAGACTACCAGTTAGAGCAGAAAAGTTAAGATATTTTCTCTGCTTATTTACAAAAATGTAAGATTTCTCTCAACACTTCCCAAACTTAACTAATAATTTACTACATATTTACTACATAATCCTAGAGCATTCTTTTTGAAACCTAGATAAGATTTAGTTTTAAGATGTCAATTATTATACTGACATGCAGGTATAGAAAACTTGTTTAAAATATTGAATTGCGAAAGTAGGAACAATGTAACCACACTTAAATATATATCATAGCAGTAAAGGTTGGTAAATTACTTTAGTAGCTGGAGCACCTGGAATTAATGAAATTTAATTTAATTTGCATTTAGAACAAATGCAGAGTTAAAAAAACGTTTAAACTAGAAACCAATATCAAGTCCTCCTGTAAGCCCACGACCACATTTGGCAATGTTCCGGGTGCTACCGAGGAAGTGCTCTGAATCTGACTTCAGTCAAGTCATATTCATTTATCAAATCTTATATTTGTAAGAAAAGATCGACATCACCATTGCACAGTGGTTTGAATGCTCAAATCCGTGAACTTTTTAAATATTTGGTTTTTCAACATACTGACCGTTAGTGATAAATTAGCCAAATTGGCTAAACATCACTGTAATAAAATAGAAACATCCTCGGTCCTCGGAAGAGTTTTTTAATGTAAAATCAACTCGATATTGCAGAAGCCATCAAATTACAGAATTATCGACATATAGAATGAAAAACATTTTTGTTCATTCATAATTTTAATAGAACTTTGAATTCCATCTTCAAATACGAATTCGTAGAATGATTCAAGAATCCAATTACAATTGTTGATTCGCAATAAACACCCTATCCGGATAGAGCCAATGTAAACAAGTGCATTAAGATTGTCAACTCTTGACATTTGATGTCTAATGAAAATTTCTGGTTCAATATGGGTTTTGAAAATTTGCCATTGGTGACTTGTCCTAGAATGAGATTTGATCTCGAGTTTTTGGCGTGAGAGGTATGGATGTTAACCACTACGCCCAGCAGCCAAGTTCTACTTCACTAGTATTATATTTCTTTTAAGACATACTGACCACAGAAAAAAAAAACGAACTCAATTTAAGTTTACAATCAGCTTCCAATTCATATTCCTATCGATCCGAAGCTACATTGTAAGAGGTATATTTATATCCATTCGATACAGATTGCTAACAAAAACCATCGTGTATAGAACACTTTACATTAGCGTCGAAATCCCATAACTTACATTCAATTTACTGCTCAAACGCGTCGTCGTCCATTCACATCGTTCCTCTCCTTACTCACGTACTAAGTTATTGGATGAATGCACCGAAGCAGTTGAACAAATTCTTACGATCCTCAGAACGAATGTTTTGTTTGTTTTAAAATTTAGTCACGTCCTGCTCCGTCCAGCATCGTCAACAACGACCAGATCGGACCGAAACTGTGTTCTCTCTGTATTCTTCGATTACGTTGTAGCTCAACTTTTGACAAACAAAACACATCAGAGGAGGGAAAAAAACTGCGACTTGTCGTTCTCCAAAAATCTCAGACAACTTCTTCTTGAGGTCGTTGTTTTTTTAAACCCACATAAATTCAAACCACTCTTCACATTCGATATGCCCGATTTTTTCTTGCGGCATACAAATTGCTTCTTACGACTTTTAACACACTTTTTTATTTCTTCTTCCAATCGGCAGAAACAACAACAGCCACCACTATCAAGATAGCATAGAACAATGGAGCTTGGCTTTTATGCTCCCGTTTGTATATGTTTAACTTCTTTTTCTCGATAACTCGATATCCGCGAATGACCGGTTTGTTTGGGTTTGCGAATCGCTTATAACTTTTCTGTAAACATTGCAAAATTCGTTCCCAATCAATTTTGCTTTCTTCTTGTGTTTCTTCTTCTCCTGCTGCTCAAATATAAACAACCATCTTAGCACCTAGATTTACTCATTTGTCACTCTTTTCTTCTCTCAAGTATATTTGCCGATGTATCATCACTGTGTACGTTTTCCCTTATCGCTTATCACGAGCTTCGTTATCACTGACAAGCGGATGTCAACACGCAGACAATTTCTCTCCTATTCATTCACTACCGACCGGCAGCTCGAAATCAATCCTCCATTTCAAACGGGGTAGGTATCCAATGGCAACCGATGATGATGTTGATGATCTCTCCCGGTGAGTGACTTCAAAAATATCTTCCTTCTTCTTCGAGTGTAAAGATTTTAAATTTAGTCCACATCTGGACAACGCATCGAGAGCATGATATGTTCCACCTAGTCAAGAACGACAAAACAAACGATCCCACATATGAAAAAAGCAGACGTATTTTTATTTTCCTATGAAATTAACAATTCACACCACACCGGCAATGGATTTTGCTTATTGTCGCACAAAACGCAAGCACTTTATGTCCCATTTGTTGGGTTTGTTAGTTGCACCTCGCGAGTGCTCACAGCGCAAACACCACACACACGCCCGGTTGGTCGGTAAGTAAACAAATAATGCACTTGATGGATGTAAATGCAAATTTTCTGCACCGAAAGTGATCGCTAAAAACGGAATCGCCAAACTGAATCGCGCGCGCTTGAACGGGGGAAAAAATTACGAAAAACGCAATACCTCCTGATAAAGTACGTGTTGTGCTCTCAACACCGCCGAGAGTGAGCATAGACTGAAGGTATTGGACGAGAGCCTACGACAACAAACCGCGGGCCTCCGCCGTCCGTCGCAGTTAGTTAGGAGCTGTTGCATCGAGTATTGTGCTCTCTCCGAGAGAAGGCATTTCAGTGCGATGCATGCAATGTGCTCGTGCAGGATTTGAGAAGGTGTGTGCTTTGCTGCTCCTTCTTGTAGAGCTGCTCGCAGCACATGTGCTGCTCGGTTGACTGTGTATAGTAGGAGGAGGTAGGTATAGGTGAATGTAGTGGCTGCCGGCGACATACGAGGCGTACTCCCGCCGATGATCATCATCAGTATCATCAAGACGAACAACGATGATGATGGAAGTACAACGACCGGCAGAATAATGCTGATTAGTGTGAGATTCGGTCTCGAGCAGGGTAGGCAGATTGTGATCGATGGACAAATCAATACTCATTTACTTTTTAGAAGGGACGGATCAGCTTTTGTAAACAATGCATTTGATCGTTAATTTAGCGTAACTGTCCACGCATGCTGGCCCTAATAAAAAACACATCCGAACGTTAACCCAAATGATAGAACTATTCCACAAATTTTTTCTATAATACATACCCTGAACACGTCGTTAGGCAAAATAACCATACAAATTTTATTAGAGAATTCTACCATCAGATAGGGGAAATTTCTCCCCACCTGATAGTGATGTTAGTGTACGTAAGGCAAATACCAGTTACGCCAAATTGTTGATCAAATGCATTGTTTACAAGAGCTTATACGTCCCTTCGTAAAAGTAATCGAGAGATGTTCGTTTCGATGCACACCGCACACTGAGGCAGAACCGCCAAACTTTTGGACAAACCCTAATTTTTTTCTCGAAATTTCAATTCATCTCAACAGGGATCATGGAAACGGACACACATACAATGCTGCAAAATATCAACATCAATAACTACAAATGTCACTAGCCACCTGATGTCAGTATCAGTTTGCACAGTTAGAATATCAAAATCATTCGCCTCAATGTCAGTACGCAAATGACATTGATATCGAAAAGACACCACTGATATTCAAAGTTCTACCGCATTTTTTCTTATATACGCCAGGTAATCGAGTACCGGTCTTTAGAAAACTTAAATGCAATATTAAAACAATGCAGCAGTTGTACAAAAACGTTGATTAATTGAAACAAAAGATAGTTTTTAACTTTTACCCAATATTTTTAAATTTTTTTAATCCATCTGACAAGAAGTCCACATGAATAAAACTTAACTAGTCCTAAACAGCCAACAAACAAAATATATCTTACGCAGACAAGTAGAAGACTTTCAAACGACATTACAAAATACTAGCAGAATGGGAAAATCAAACATATGATACCTAAAGTTGAATTCTCGACACATAGCTTGAACCGGCTCATTATGTCCGTAGTCCGTTCTTCTAAAACAAAGTCTTATAAATTACCTGTCCAAGAATTTGGGATGAATCCACGTCTCCAAGTAGCTGCTTAGCTAAAAACAAAGCTCTGGTCAGTGCTTGAAAATCATACAGATAAGGCTATGTCACTATCATAAGACGAAAATGCAGAGACAGAGGTTTTCGCTAGATTCTCTTCGATTTTTGTTTGTCATGACAGGACGTGACAGTGTTGTTAAACATGTAATAACGAGCTTATTTATTAACATAATTGTTACTTGCGCTGTATATTTTTCTAAATATATTCACTCTCTCGATTACACTCTTTTGCTTGCGGTAATTCATCTAAATTTACTACAAACTTGGTTTTCAAAAATATAAGAATTAATCTCATGAGAGCTTCGTCATTGAAAATGACAGGAAAGCTTATGACAGATAGTTTCGACTCATGATAGTGATAGGACCTGGTTTGTCATTCTCACATGATGGACATGATATTTACCAGCACTGGCTCTGGCGGAGTCTCTTCGTTGTTGAAGCGTTTACATTCCGAGCAACCTACCTCAATCTTTATACGGCGACAAGCAGGCCGGGTTACGCCAAGGAAGATATCTCAGCGCAAATTTAATAACCCGGGATTGGATTACTTCAATCCTGTTGATCCAAATGTGTGCATACGGGCTCCATACGATTGTAGCAGCTTCCAGAACCAAACGAACTAGAGCGTAATACAGCGAACGAAGGCAGTAGGGATCTCGAAAACCTTTGGCAACTCTTTTTATAATGCCCAAATTCCTGTTACCTTTGGCAATAATGCTCGAGTAATGATCTCTGAATGAAAGCTGCGAGTCAAGCAGAACTCCAAGATCCTTCACCACGCTAACTCTCTCGATCGAGGAACCGAAAATCTCATACATTCAGTGAATTAGAGATTTATTTCGTGTGAAGGAGATTTTTTTTATAGTAACTATAACACTTTTGGGTCATTCGTGACTTGTCCGTGGTGAGATTTGAACTCGTGACTTTGGCGTGAGATGGTAACCACTACGACGGGCTCACCCCATGTGACGAAGATGACTCTCCACTTGTGTACGCTGATTGTCAATTGATTCATAGAACACCAGTTCTCAATTAGCTTAATTAACGTCTGTAGTTCCCGGCAATCCTCAATGGATTTGCCAGGGTTACTTACACTCACTTCGCTATAAAAAATGTTTTTCGTAATTATGTAATCATTGGATGCTATTATGAAAGTTTGTACTTGTCAGAAGCAAGAAGAGGTTGAAAAGTATGTATTTGACACATACAACCTGTCATTTTCGCTTTCAGTGCGTCACAATCAGCGAATTTATGACTTGTGAGCGTTCACTCAGAGTGAGCGCTCACGTATCGTAAAATCGCTGATTGTGACGCACTGAAAGCAATAATGACAGGTTTTATGTGTCAAACATCTAGTTAACAACCTTATCTTGTGACTTACAACTACTAACTATCATTATAATATCAAATGATTTCATAATTCCGAAAAACAATTTTTTATAGCAAGTGAGTGGAAGCAAGCCTGGATTTGACGATAATAAATATCTTGAGGTAGTCCGCATATACAAGTATACACCCCAGTGGTATGTCTAGACAAAAATCGTTTAGAAATATTGAGAACAGTAATGGTCCAAGATTACTTTCTTGGGGAACGCCTGAACTGTTCGAGAAGATGTAGGACTGCGATGATCCAAGCTTGAAAGTGAGTCGTCTGTTCACCAAATAAGAATCCAGCCAACCGACTTATCTTAATCAGCAGTAGATGATGATCTACACGGTGAAACAGTTGCTTTGGGGTCTGTGTAGACTGTGTCAATTTGAGCCCCATTCTCAATAACCTTGATGCAATACAACGAAAGTTCTGTCGATTGCCCTTCCTTTAAAAAATCCATGCTGATCAGATGAATGGACCGATTTTACTGTATCGAACAGCATACTAAGATTTCCAAAAGTTTGGAGCTAGCACATAATGAGGTAATACCACAGACAAACAGACATAACACATTGGTGGAACGTTTGTCACAGTTCCTTGTTTGTTTCGGAAAATCGTCACTGTTCATGGAAGTATCGCTCCCTCACATCAGCAGACGGTTCCGCTAGTATTCATTCTGATGACAACAAAAACAGAATCGTTATATCCAAAAGTACGGCAGGAAATCCTGGAAGCAGCAGTTATGTTTTTTGTTATTGAATGAAAAACCACAGAATTCACCATTCTTCATTTCATGAGCTGTTCTTTGGCATTATCTTTTTTTCAACCTTAGCTGTTTTTTTGTTATTGAATGAAAAATCACAGAATTCACCATTCTTTATTTCATGAGCCGATTTTTGAGGAAAACCTTTCTTCTTTGACAATTGCAATATGTGTGTAAGAATATATTACAACAAATGTGTGATTTTTTTTATTTCTAGATGCGATTCATTTCAAGATATAGTTCAAAACTATGCTGAATTTTCATTGCCGGATTACTTAACCGCTATTGCTACTAATATTGGATCTAAGTACGTCACTTACGATATGATAAATAATGGATTCCAAACTGCGCTTATTAAATAAACTATGTTTGTTTAACTTGTATCATCTTTTATTCAACACTTAGCCTAATTTAAGCATTGTTTACCATGCTCGAAACAGGTTTCTAGAGTTACACAGCAGCAAGGTATTTATACTTAACGTCCATTATGCCTACCGTATATTATGCCCAACGTCCATTATGCCTAATGACTTTATGCCTAACGTCCATTATGCCTATCGTCCGTATGCCTAATATCCGTATGCCTAACGTATTTATGCCTAATGGGGTACACTCGTCATTAAGGATGCAGAAATCAAATATCCGGAGAACTTTAAGATTTGGGCGTAATTGCTTTTGTAAACAAATATGTCAATCGCTGATTTCTCGCGAATAAAAGGACAATCTCGTGATCAAACTATACAAAATGATAGAGGAACCATTCATCTACCTGTTTGTGTTGTTAGTTTTTTAGATTGAGCTTTAATTCGCGAGAAATCGTCAAATGAAGTGTTTGTTTACAAAAGCAATTACGCCTGAATCTCGCAGTTCTCCGGATATAGTAAACAGTGAAAATTTAGCCAGGTGCCACTTACGTCACTTTCTCATCAAACGGTAGTGAAATTACCGCAATTTTTGTGGAATCTTAGGAAGCTCCTGATGTTTTAACAAATGACTGACATTCTCGAAACTTTGTTTTTTAATTGTGTTGTTTCTTTAAAGTTTATGCAACTACCCTGAGGTTCTCTGTTCTTTCCTGAAATTCTCGAAGCCCCTTTAACGCTTTTGCAGTTCTCATGAAGCTTGTTTCACTGTCATAAATTTAATTAAACTGTCATAAGAATGACTAAAATTTCATGAAGTGCACTGAAGCACTCAAACAATGTCTCAACATCTTCAAAAATCTATGAAACACTGTAAACTTCCCATAAAATTTCCCGTTAATTTTCTGAAATTCATGGAACTTTCATGGAGTTCCAGATTTTTTTCCTTGAAATGATCCCACATTATATTAATGTTCATGAAACATTCGTGGAGTTTTTGGATCTTCCCTAAAATTCC